CGGGAAGTATTCGAAATGAGGGACCGCCGTATCGGGACCACCTCTAGCGTAGCAGTATAAAATAACCCCTAGGGGTGGATTTTAGTGGGGCCCACAATTTGGGACAGGGTTTTAGTGGGGCCCACAATTTGGGACAGGGTTTTAATGGGGCCCACAATTTGGGACAGGGTTTTAGTGGAGCGCACGAGATCGCAATCTAAAACACACATTTTACGAAGAGAACTTAACGTGGCAAAATCCGGCTTCGATTTGCAATTTTTAAGATTTAGGATTTAGATTTAGGATTTAACTTTTAGGATTTAGGGTTTAGGATTTAGGTTTTAGGGTTTAGGGTTTAGGATTTTCGTGGGTGCCACATCTTGGGAAAGGGTCACCCCTGAGATTGGCCACCAGCCCAATCTAAAACACACATTTTACGAACAGAATTTAACGTGGCAAAATCCGGCCCGCGCTTTTGGGGCTGGGAATTAGGATTTAGTGTTCCATATCCCGGCCGAAGGCCCAAAAAGGGCCAGAGGCTAACCAAATCGGAATTTCGACCTGCGCCGTTGGAGTTGGTTTAGGGTTTAGGGTTTAGGGTTTAGGGATTTAGGATTTAGCGTTCCACTTCCTTGCCGAAGGCCCGAAAAAAGCCAGAGGCTGCCTAATCCGGAATTGCGACATTAGGACGAAGAGGGGCCATCCCCTTCTGCAAGAACCCTTCGCGTCCTGCTCTGTCTGTGAAGGCATCTGACGAAGGAACCCTTCCCGTAAGTTTTCCTGTAAGGTTCCCTCCCGTGAGGAGCTTCCCCTTGAGGGTCTCTGGTCTTTGGACGACGGGGTTGGGAAAAGCCCCCCTTGATAGGGGGTTGGGGAGTAGAAGCCCTAAACCCTAAGCCCCTAAACCCTAAACCCTGAACCCTGAACCCTAAACCACAAGACCGTAGCCTGGAACTCGAAACCCTGGCGCCGGTTCACTTTTACAAATTCTTGACTTGGGATTGACTGGGGCTTAGGGTTTGGGGGCTGAAGGTTTCGGGTTTAGGGTGTTACGGCTGAGGTCTGTGGTTTAAGGAGTAAGGTTTGGGGATCCTGGCGCTGTTGTCAGCCAACCCTAAACCCTAAACTCCTAAACCCTAAATCCTAAACCCTACACCCTAAATCCTAAACCCTAAACCCTGAGCCGCCGGGGTTCTCTTCACCCGCACCTCTCTGGGAAGTGTGACCTCCAACTTGAGACCGTCCTCGGCTCTGGAAGGCAGCTTTCAGTTTAGGGTTTAGGGTTTAGGGTTTAGGAGTTTAGGGTTGCTGCTTGTGGGTTTAATATACAGGCCTTGATAATTTTAAGGGGTATGCTGGACTATAATTATAATAAGGAGTCCCAAGACAGTATTGGTAGCTACTTCGGTCCCTCGATTAGAGGAGGTTGCAGAGTTGGGAGGATTTAGGGCTGAGGGGATATAGTGTTTGATAGGTTTTGACTATCATGGCTGTTTAGCCTTTAATGGGGATGTTACCTCAAGCTTAGAAGGGCCAGGGTTGATAGGCTCACGGAATGGCTATGTTGCGGCTCAGGCTAGTTATAAAGAGGTTCGAAAGCAGTCTGAGTCTGGAGCTTTGCCAGTAAGTGTTGTGATTATAAATCACGAACTCTGTGTTGTATAGCCAATTACACAGCAAAACAGTGTGGATCCGTACAACTTCTAGCCTCTAGCCTTAAGCCCGCCCTAAACCTGAACCCTGTGCCCCCAAAACACTAACATCAAACGTATTCAACAACGGATATAAACTGACATTTTCACGATATACTAGCAAGGTGGGAGACTCGGAAAAGGACGGACCCCAGGTTCATAGACCCTGCAGAATAGGATCCTTGTTCTAAGGAACCCAGAAGAGTGCCCCAATGTTGCGAAAGCACCATATACCTTAAACCCTAAACCCTGAGTGAGTTGCTGGATTCACGGGAACCTCGAAGCCTTGAAACCCCGAAAACAAACTTAGCAACCAAGCCCTGCACGGAAACTCCCAAGGAGAAGCGGTCCTAACGGTTTCGGGTTTAGGGTGTAGGGTTTAGGGTTTAGGGTTTAGGTCCTAACCCGATGTCCTAGAGAGCACCGGCACATCTCCAAGTACCCCGACCCCCAGTAGGATCTAGAAAGTAGATCACTTAAGGA